GCCTTATACCAATAAACTTTTACACCGCGCCTGGGTGGGGTTACCCCCCCCCCCCCCCATAATAGAAGACCACCTGGTCTTCTATTGCGGTCAAATTTTATCGCGTGCTAGTAGTCCATCGGTGCCCCTCACGTACTTGAAGTCCAGCCCTTATTAGAAGAACATTTTAGCGAAACGTTTTTGAATTGCCCTATGCAGGCATTTTCCGATAGGAAGCATTTTCCGATTTATTTTGGCGGACATAATAGAAGACCAGTGGTCTTCTAGGAGTTAGAAGACCATGGTCTTCTATTTGGCTTTCAAGTCATCTAATCGGCAATGGTCTCCTAATAGGAGATGGTCTTCTATTAGGGGATGATCTTCTATTATGGGGGAGGGGGGGTTATTACTCGATCAGGACTACTTATTTTCCAAATAGTTTCTCACAAAAATGGCACCACTTGATTTCTCACAATTACAAGAACAGTTCTACATATTGCTGTTTAGAAAATTTCGATTTTCTTTGTCCCTAAAACTCTTTCTTATGGGACCTAAAATAAAATACTTGGGAACCTGTAGAGAACCAGAACAATCGAAGCATATGAAAATTTCATGATTTTTTTCTGGAGAAGCGGTCATTGAGGTTTTTACATATTCGCAATGAGTACGACGAGTTACGTTGTACGGCGCAAAGATCTCGTCGGGGTCCCGACACTTTTTTGGACTCGGTGGCTCCACTGGAAGTTTTCACGGTATATTACACTGTATTCAGCTGTAGACATCGAACATACCGCATTCACAACTCTTTCATTTGATCTTATTTTTCTTCCGTCTCATATATTTTTCTGATGTGCTCGTATAGATGTAAGTAGAGCTTTATTTCTCTTTATAGAAAAGAACAAATTTTCTATTTTAATCGAGATATTCATTTATTATATGTCCAAAAAACGCTGTGCTCATCCGATATTCTGCCAACTTTGCGAATGAATATTAAATTAACTAGAGAAGACTCATTTTCATATACTCACTTGAGGCGCACAAGTTGTACTATATACTGATATATTTTCAAGAAAAAGATCTCTTTTAGTTTTTCAGATATGTGGCTCTCAATATCGGTGATTAACGTTTAAAAACTCATACTTTTTCTTTCATATTCAGCAGTTAAATAAACTCTTTTCGATCATGGTATTCCTTTAGCAGGTGCTCCCCCAAAAACGTGGTGACATTAAAGCTGGTGCTCCCCATAAGTATTTGGTGTTCCCCTATGTTGAAAAAAGTCCGTAAGGTTGTGTTTTTAGTCTTTTAATGTCAAAATGGAAGAATAAACAATAAGTAAATCAAAAGAAGCAGCTGGTCTTATTTCGATAAGTGAAAATGATCAAACGCGGATTCTTGAACAAAGATAAGTTAGAGTTGTATTTATGGAAGAGTATATATATAAGTACCTCACCCTGGTTAAAAATCACAACTTCAAAATGACTACTACTGTTCCAATGCCAACTAACTTTCGTGACTTCTATTCTATTCTTAATGATAACAAGAAACTTCGTATGTTTGTGCGTGAACAAAAACTTATATTAGAAAGTGAAGATCATCAATGTCCGAAATGTGGATCGGAAATGAGAGACGGCAAACGTCAAAAGACTTTAAAGGATGGTAAGTGATTCACTCCATTTGTAGCTACTATTATCTATGCTGACTTAATCGTATTTCTAGATACAGTGTCAACATATGAAATAATGCGATGTAAAAATAAACAATGTGCAAATCAGTTAAGTAAAAGAAAAAATATCTTTTTTGCTTTTACCGATTCCTTGGGCAGAGCCAACTCAAAACTTAGTGTTGCGTCTATTTTAGAAATTATATGGTTATGGTGTTTTAATATAACATCGAAGACAATATCATGGACCGTCGGATGTTCAGAAGCAACTACCGTTGACTGGTGCAATTTTTTAAGAGAAGTAAGTCCGTATTGTTTGGTCTATGCTATATCGGGTAATAACCATTGTTCATTCTTTAAGGTTTGCACAGAAAATATTCCATGGATGTTTGGAATTGCTCAACCAACAGAAAATGGATATGAAGTTCGGTTTTTCCATGTACAACGTCGTGATCGCGCAACATTAGTTCCGATTATACTCAAGCATGTTGTACCTGGAACAACCGTATGGTCCGATGAATGGGGGGCATATAAAAACTTACAAACACAGTATGGGTGTGATCATCAAACAGTAAGTAAATGAATATCTGCGAGTTTCAAAACTTTATGAGCATCTAAATTAAATTGTAGGTCAACCACAGTCAAAATTTTGTTGATCCGCACACTGGCTGTCACACACAATTAATCGAATGTTTGTGGGGTCAAGCGAAAACAAAAATTTTGAGAGCCATGCGCGGGTCAACATTACTCGACAGTCATTTAAACGAATTCTGGTATCGATCAGTGCACAAGGACATGTTTTCGTCGATATTAACAGACATTCGTCGTTTTCGCATGTAAGTTTTTTTTCTGTGTTTTTTTTACTGATTTAAAAAAAGTGGTTCCTTTCCTGATTACTACACGTTTTTTTCCGTACTTTTCCTGGCCTTCAATACATTGCAAAAGATTTGTGATTAATAATTATCCATTAAAAATAAAATCGAGCTTGTAATCGTCTAAATGCACTTAGACTATTTGAATGGATAATTATTGATTACAAGTCTTTTGCAATTTATTTAAGGCTAGGAAAAACTAACGAATCCCTTGGTCATTCAATCATACTTTACTATTTGTATTTCCTTGTGCTTTTTTTGGTTTCTGTACTTCTTTTTATTACTTCTTTCTGTACTTCTTTACTACTTACTAAATTACTACTTTATTTTATTATTGTTTATTTTTTCATTTTTTGTTTATTTCTCCAATTTTTTGATATCAAAAATTTATAAAAAATTTATAACACATATAATAATTTCCGTACTTAATTCTTTTCTTTTCTGTAATAATAAAATGTTAGGAACACTTTTTTCTGTACTTCTTTTAATTTACTTATTGTTTATTCTTCCATTTTGACATTAAAAGACTAAAAACACAACCTTACTGACTTTTTTCAACATAGGGGAACACTAAATACGTATGGGGAGCACCAGCTTTAATGTTACCGCACTTTTTTCGGTTCCGTGGGGGAACACCAAATACGTATGGGGAGCACCAGCTTTAATGTCACCACGTTATGGGGGGAGCACCTGCTAAAGGAATACCTCGATCATCATGACTTCTTTCCGGCTTTCTCTTCGTGTCATGAGAACCAGAGATAAGGTGTGTTCTAAGGAGTAAAAACATATTGAAGTAGAAATCATTTTTCCAAAAGGTAGACTTTCTTTCACATCGTTTTTATAAGAGAGATTAGTGAAACATAATCCCATGGAATGATTTTATACATAAATGTTTTATAACGTAATACAATAAGTGTGTATTTTCAGCAATTATCAATACTGTAGCACTGATCAGTGTTATAAACTATCATTATTTGCGAAACATAAATTATTTTATAGATGCTTCACAACACCTTGAACAGCATTTCGACAAGCAAAATTGGGACTTATATTCATAACGAGTAAACTAAATATTCGAATAATATAAAATTTGTTCTTCTAATATACTCAGTTTAAGAAAAAGTCGTATCCTTATCGTCGAAAATATCGTCATAATTCAATAAAGCAAAACAGAACGGAGAAAAGAAAGGACTGAAGCGAAACGATTATTCTCTTTCTTTCTTTCTTATTGTGAATATATTTTACTGCTGTTTCATTATATTCGAAATCGTTTTGTCCCAACAATAATGTGCAGCTTTTCTCCTTTTCTATTTATTCATTTTGCGTATAGAGACAACGGACGGGCCCTTTCTGTACTTATTTGTTATTGCACATCAATGAGTAGAACAGACGTAAAGTTCACCCTTTTCTCTTGTCTGTATTCATACATTCTTTTATTATTATTATTATTATTATTATTATTATTATTGCGTTTCGTCCTCTCTCGGCCGGAGCTGTTTGACAACATGCATATTTGCAACGATGTTTTTCCACTTCTTTCTTTGTTTCGCGATCTTTTCGAGCAGCTTGCGATCTTCAATCGACTTCAGTTGATGTGGTAGATTTAGTTGTTTTGAAAGATCTGGTAACTGTGTTGTTATTAGTTGGAGATCTTTGTCGATGGTACATTCTTTTGTCCATCACTTAAATCAGACGACTATATAAGAATATGTTTCTCCTTTTTTCTGTTCAGTTGGTGAAGAAGTGGTGTAGAGTTAATATCAATTTATGTTGTGTTAGTCTGAGTCTGTACTATTCTTCTTCATTTTATTATAAATTGTTACCACATATTCGTTCACTAGCAGTGTAATCACGGGAGAAACATTTAAGGTACTCTAAATATCCTCAAAAGTCATCAACAGCCTGGGGTAAGTAGCTTCAATCTTCTGTGAGAGGAATTTAGTACTAACATTATGGATCAGCAAATGCTATTATTATTATAAGTTCAGTAATACTCAAACCATTATCGTAACGTTTTCTTTCGTTCTTAACGCAGCATCGTTTTCTTCCGTTCTAATGAAGTATATATATATACTTGGTTAGAACGAAAGAAAACGATGCTCGGAAAGCAGACTTCGAGTGAAATTTATTTTTAGACGTTTTACACACCATTTGATAGAGAATTGTGCGCTGATCACGAACATGTGCGCCCCGCTTTTTTTGCAGACTTTTTACCGGTCCAAAAATTCGAAAAACTGGGAAGTTGTCAAAAACCCCAAAACCGCAAGGCTTTAAAAGAAAATGGCCGTAACTTTTTCGCGTTTTAGTTTCAACACTTGAAACAATGGTTTTCGGATTCAGAATCGAAAACTGAATCTAAGAAACTAACTCCCAACGTTTCAGGGCCGAAACTGGAATTTTGCTAGTGCCCGAAACCGGCACGGCTCAAAAGCGCCACACAAACTTTGCAGACCTAACGCAGGTTTGTATAAAGGTCATACAGCCAATATTTTTACATGGCTAGATCGGCTAGATGCTCAGCTTTAAAGTTACGAAAGTCTTTTCCAAAAATTCCGTTTCCTTGCGGAGAACCATTTTTTCTAAATCATAGGCGAAAAAGTCTCAATTCTGCTCGTAATTCTCAATTTTATTCAATAGAACTCAAATTTTGAGGAATAAAAATATCATATTCAGAATCAGGATCAAAAAATTAGTCGATTGATGTGTATGTGTATCCTACCCGGCTACTTTCATTTTTTTCGAATTTTCACGTTGAAAAACTACCGACGTTTTCATCCAAAACTGAAAATCAAGTAAAAGTTTCGAAATATACATTAGTCGACTCATATTTTGATCCTGATTCTGAATATGATATTTTTATTGCTCAAAAGTTGAGTTCTATTGGAGAAAACTGAGAATTACGAGCAGAATTCCGATATTTTTTTTATATGTTTCTTGACTCTATTAGAATGTACTTGCGTGTATATAGACTACGACATTCTTTTTCTGGCTCTTCTCCCAATTATCTGCATGAATATATATGTCAGTAAAATGAAGAAGATGCATTTTTGTTTCCGTTCACTCTGAAGAAAACTGAACCAAAAGAAAAGGAAACACAAAATGCAAGTGTATATCGTACGATACAGAAAACGATTATATCTTATTTGATACGACTCTAATTTCTGACATCTTCATCTTCATTTTACTGACATATCCATGGAGATAACTGCGAGAACAACAAGAAAAAGAATGTCGTAGTCTGTATACACGCAAGTACAGTCTAATATACTACTTCCTTAAACCCTTAAAGGGTTCGTAGCTGGTTGCAAATTCTTAAACCCTTCTCAAGGGTTTATTGCTTTTATGTACCCATCCTTGTCTGAGTAACGAATGGCTCAGACTGAATTTCATTCTCAGTTTTTCAAGATTATTTCTTGTTTTCAAGATTTATTTCTGTTCTGATTATTTCATTTTTGTCGCATGAGACTGTCGCATGGCAACTGTTTTTTACAAAGTTCATTGTGCAACTTTCTTCAGAATAGTACATATCATTTGACAAGACATTTCCGTTTATGTATGAGAAACAACATAATTGAATTAAAGGATCGAGTATCAGGTGAAAGTTGAGGTTTTGACTTAATGCTTGATGCTATCAGTCAACGGTGTTGTCTCTCAAATATAGACGAAAGTGTCTTTGTCAAATGAAATATACTTTTCCGAAGAAAGTTGCACAAACTTTTTTGAGTTTTTATGGCATTTTAGCCTCATATATCGGGATTCCGATGAAGGAGAAGACAGATGCCACGTAGGTACGGAGGCAGGAGTACTGGAAAACCTTCGTCGTCAACTTGTTGTTTCAAATAAAGGGTTATTACGGCGAGTTGACAATGCTTGGGCTTTTTCTGTCCCTTTGCTGACTGTCTCAGTTCATTGGTTCGTCATTCCAGTAAGCATTCCGATTGAGTTCAACTGGACTGGTGAGATAAGATAAAAATAGAGGGTACATCGGATGTAAAGCTGGACTTTTTGTTTCTGCTTCAGATAATATACAGTTCGTCGCAATCTGACTGTTTTAATTGTCTTCCAATATCTGGTAGACGTATTAATTCTTTCAACGTGTAAGTATTGGGATTGGAACGATCCATTGGACAGACATCAGTCGAGTGTATTTCTTCCGTTCAAATACAAATTTAGAAAGTTAAAAAGCCTTACGCAAGAAAAAATTGATTCTGATCATTTCAACTGCAAAAAGGAAGTTTAATGCATCTGTGTCACTATGTATAGATAATGCTAACAAATACAAGATTACGTTGTTACCCTTGAGAATGCTGAGATTATTTGGCCTCATGATGTTGCTGTTCAAGACCTTGCAGTTCTGAAATATTAATTTGTTCTACAAAAAAATCTAGTCGTAGTCTTGAAATTGGACAAAGATCTAATTACGTTACAAACTGCTGGTCTTGGACTTTATTAGGGCATAAAAACATTCACTAGAGCATAAATGAAGATATTTCTGTTTCAGCACAACACCAATGGCTGAATCATTAAAAACAGCGTCAGAGTTCGCTTTGTTTCAGTGTCCAATTACACATCAGCTTTTCAAAGATCCTGTTTTGGCTGAAGATGGACACACATATGAAAGGGAAGCGATAGTCCAATGGATACAAAAAAACGGAACTAGTCCAATTACACGACAACTACTCAGTATTGATCAACTACATCCTAATTGTACAATTAAGAATATAGTCAATGAATTGCGATCGAAAAAATTTTATTTTAAATTAGGTGTACATGTCAAAAAAAAATCCTGTCGAGCACTATTTCAAGCACATGGAAAAACAGTATGGGAAGCAGATTGGATTGGAGAACGTGGACAACCAATTTGTTTAATGAAAATTAATGGTGTTAAAGCATTGAAAGAAGCATCATTTTACGAACAGATGACTCGACATCCATATATTGTAAAAACATATGGGATCGTTGATGAAGCTTCGGAAGTAACGTCATATTCAATTATGTTATTGCAAGAATATGCATCTGAGGGCAATTTATTCGAATTATTACAAGAACAACCGTCTGTGCCTAAGGAACATATCTTATGTGAAATGTTTGTTCAAATATCAGATGCAATGGTATTTTTGGCACATAATCAGATTGTGCATGGTGACTTAGCATGTCGAAATATTATAGTATTTCGATTCGACGCAAACGAACCAAAAAACAACCTTGTCAAACTACAGATTTTGGTCTTAGTCGAGGAAGTTCAATGTATGCTCCAGTGGGTGCAGCATCAACAACAACAATGACCATAGTTCCAATACGTTATGCTGCTCCTGAAGTTCTCAGCAATAGTAACAATAGGAATTCATATACAGCAAAATCTGATATGTTCTCAATGGGTGTATTAATGTGGGAAGGCTATTCAAAAGGTGAAATGCCATGGTCAAATATTGAAAAAGACGACGAAGTTTCTCGAAAAGTTATGAATGGTGAACGTTTAGAACAGCCATCGAAATGTAATGATAGAGTGTGGTCGATGGTATTAAAATGTATGTCACAACAAGCAAATGATCGACCATTATTTGAAGAATTGAAACGCCATATATTAGGATTTATGTTAGGTTCTGCTTACACACCAGGTAAAAGGAAAACGATTTAATTTGACGTTTCGGTAAAATTTTTCTAGAATCGTGTATATTTAAGGTTTCGAAAAGCTTATTGACAATTTTCTTCAAAAGCACGATCATGTCATTATTATAGCAACAGTGTCTGGATTCTAGACTTTTAGGAATTTTACAAAACCAACATAATTTTAAGAATTTTCGGAATTTTATGAAGCATGTGTTGAGTATGAGTGAGAAAGAAAATCTGAGGGACCAAGAGGAGTGAGAAAAAAATCTGAATGAAGGTGATGAAGCAACATAGACATGTGGGCAAGGGGGAAAAAGCGGACTCCTGTGGACTCCTGGACTTCAGGAGTCCATGGGAGTCCAGGAGTCCATAGGAGTCTATAGGAGTCCGCTTTTCCTCCCTTGCATGTGGGTGTGGAGTCAGGATGACAGTAGGTGAGCAAAACCAAATTAATGCAGAGCGAGGGTGAGTAGTGGAATGGGCGAGAGAAGGTGAGATTGAAATCTGAAATTCTTAAAATTCTAAGAATTCTCTATTATGAAGAAAAAAATCTTGAAGGTATATTGATAAAGGTATACGACAACGGTGAATTAACGGATTTTGAAATTCCAAGTCAACCTGGTAAACCTTGGGCAACAGAAATTTCTCATAACCGTGTTCTGCTAAAGTGGAGAAAACCGCAGAATGGCAGCAACAACGTACAACAATATAAAATCTATTATGAAATGAATAGTGACGGAGAATGGAAATTACTGCTAACAACTGACAATGATTCAAATGATTCATTCAACCATTCAAAAATGGTTTTGAATCTAATTCCGAATACGTTATACAGATTTAAGGTGCAAGCAGTGACGATGATTGGAGATACGATGGAAAGTGACATGAGTGATATAATTACAACAAACCTTCCACCAGGTACAGATGGTTGTTCCGACATTTACAGAGGCGAGGAGTACATAAAGAATGAAGTTGGTCCACTCAGACTTTTTATTCTGAATCGAATCGGATTGTCTATAGTGGAAAAGCTTACGTTTCGGTTGATATAAAAAGCACACAAGGGGTAAAAGAATTAGATTAAAATCGATCGATTATTTGAAGATAATCCGTAAGAATTCAGTTTTCGTGCTGTTTTCTTTATTGAATTCAATTAAAATCACTCGTCGAATCGGACAGAAATGAAGACAGTTGATTTGAATCTGATTGATTTTCCTCGCACTCTTTTTTACATGGGGATGTCGCGAATGTTTGAAATCGCATCTCTATCACTCACTAGTCGACCAAAACGAAACTCGACATCACAAGTTTTACATTGGTAGAAGCAAAAACGTTTTTTCCGAAATTTTTGCATTGGAATGTGAAATGAGAACCAGTTCGGAAATGGAATCGAAAATGGTTTTTAGACACTTTAATAGCCAAATCGTTCAAAATTTTTGGTATGCCGCCAAAAACGCATTAAATATAGTTTAGAAACAAAAGCCTTTTGACGCTTTCATAGTAAATAAACGGATGGCGCTCTGCTTGTCCTGCGCCGTTTTAACGTATTTCTGGGGACATACCAAAACTTTTTAAACGATTTTGCCGATTTCGACGTTAACATGTTTTAACAACAGACAATCGGATTAATGAAAAATACCCTGGTCAATCTCTTTTGTCTCGTGTTATTTGAAGAAAAAACTTGAGAAAACTGGAAAATGACTGTGGCATAATTATAGATCCGCTTTTCGAAAAAAAATTTTTCTCTTATTTTAAAGTGTGCCAAACCTTTTTTTCATTGATTAGGCATCGAAAAAGAGAGTATCTTCCCTAATATATGACTCAAGTACGTAATCAATGAAGAATTTCGCCCTGTTAAGTTAGCTGTTCACACGTCCTAAGATAGCTCGAAAATTCACTTGCCTCTTACGGTGACCTTCGAGTCTATTGCTGCCTCTAGATTATACATGCGTGCGTTTACAGTTGCAGTTAGCTGATTTCTTTCCTCGACATCGTGTCGGATGGAACAATAGAAACGAGATGCTCGTCTCTTGAAGTGGACCTGAGGTAAGGAGAAGGCAAGAGATTGAAAGGCACATGCTTTCCATGATAGAATCTGGGATTTTGTTATCTTTCTATGTCTCTTTGTTGAGTTTTTCCATCTTCGCCTATCACCTTTTCATACTCCATCTTTCTCATTTATCACATTCTCTTCCGTATTAATCGCTCATCCTTTCAGAGTGAAACTTGTTCTAAGTTTCTATAGTGCAAAATCACGTAAGCTATTGATTTTCGGCGTGTCGCATTTTGGATATCGTAGATTTCTCCAGGTGTCTAGCATAAAAACATACCATGGCTTGAGAAAAGTCTGCATTCTCTTTTTACCATCTGAAAACTATCTGAAAAATCTATGGCTAGTAGGAAAAATACCATTTATCCTCTAGAAACAGAAAACGTGTCTCTTAAATACACAGGTCGAACTCTATATAGAAACGATTGCTTGACAACTATATAAACTTCCAAATCGGTCACATTTAACGGTGAAAAATGGAGTCTATCCGTTCGAATTCAAAACGAAGGAGGGCTGTTTAAAGGCATTCCAATTCGTCTTTCGAAAGGAAGAGAGAGTGAGAGAAGCGCAGAGTAGGGACTGCAAAAGAATAGGTAAGTGGTCGGATGTGCCTTCTGACACTTTCACATCCAAACCACTAGCTAGCATCGTGAGTTAATCCGAAATCTATTATCGTATCTGAGTGACCCGATGGCGGCTTTAAAGGAACGATCAATTCATTTCAAGTTTATTCGAGCCAGGAAGCTATCTGGTTCCCACTTTCATTATTCTGTTTAAAATCCCAACTGGTATGCACTAAGCAACCATTTTCCAGTTGCGATGAAGCCATCCGATAGTGGTGGAGAGAGATCAGCGAAAAGTGGCGATTGATGACCACGAAAGTGATGAGGGCACCATCATTTGTGAACGATCCCGTGAAGTACCCAAGAAGGGGAAAAAGGCGCGACTTCACGTCCTACAAGTTACTTCATAGATATTCAAAGGATCTTTTCGGCTAATTCTTAGTTATTTCTGCTCACTTTTTTGTTCTATTTTCGTGCTAAATGATCTCCACTTCAATAATACATTTCGTACGTGAAGTCGCGCGTTTCGCCCTTAGGGCCGAGTACATTCACTTGCGATGAATTAGAACACGTCTGTTTGATTATGAAGCATACTGCTCGTAAGCAGGTAGGACATGTCGAAAAAAAGGATAGGCCTTGAATTGCCCAGTCCTCCTCGAACGAGCTCTGCCGGGGTTTGGCCCAGTGCTAAAAATTCCTGGATACGCCGCTGTCTCCTCCAACTAGCAACCCAAAAATGAGCCTGCTGCTTGGTTGAAAGTGTGTGTTGCCCCCGATCCACCAAATAAATGTTTCACACCGTTTGTCATACTTTACGTTCGCTCGATCGATGATATTTGTTTCCACCTTGATCAAAACCGGCGAGAACACTCCACCCATCCATCAGTATGATAGCGATAGAGTGTCGAGCAACATTTGCAAACTTGATGGAAACCAATTGAGTTAATCAATCAATAAGGGTGAGGGTCGCGGGAGAGAGAAGATTCCTTCGTTGGAGAGAAGTCTGGGCTACAAAAAAGCAACTCGAAATGACCCATTTTGAAAAGACAAAGACAATTTTGGTTTCTTGACAGTAGTAATGATGAGCCACACCTTTCTTTCTTTCGTTGCAGCACCAACACCCCTACGCGGCACCGACAACGACATTCCAGACAATGCCAAATGGACACAGAACGGCGTCACTGTGGCTGGGGGAAGTGGGCAAGGCAATATGCTGAATCAACTCTCTTACCCATCCGGTTTGTATGTTGATGATGCTGAAACGGTCTACGTCACTGAATGGAATAACGATCGTATTGTGGAATGGAAGTCTGGTGCGACGAGTGGCCAGGTGATAGCCGGCGGAAATGGAAAAGGAAACCGGATGGACCAGTTGAATTTTCCAACAGATGTGATTGTCGACAAAGAGAGAGATACACTCATCATCTGCGATCGTGGGAACAAACGAGTAGTGCGATGGCCTCGTCGAAATGGCACAAGTGGACAAACTATCATCTCGGATGTCGATTGCAACGGCTTGACGATGGACGACCGCGGATTTCTCTACGTCTCTGACACTGGAAAAAATGATGTCAAACGATGGCGAGTTGGAGACACTTGTGGGACAACGGTGGCGGGAGGCAATGGAAAAGGTGATCGTCTCGATCAGCTCAATGATCCTTACTACGTATTCGTCGATCGGGAGCATTCAGTATACGTGTCTGACAACAAAAATCATCGTGTGATGAAGTGGGTGGAGGGTGCGAAAGAAGCCATTGTCGTGGCGGGTGATCGAGGCCAAGGGAAAGGTCTTGCACAATTGTCACACCCTCTTGCACTCGTCGTCGATCAGTTCGGCAGTATCTATGTGGCGGACACGGGGAATGCTAGAATAATACGTTGGCACAAAGGAGCCACACAGGGAAGTGTCATTGTGGGTGGAAACGGCGAAGGAAAGCAAGCGAACCAGTTGAATCGACCAAACGGTTTGTCATTCGATCGACACGGTAATCTCTACGTCGTCGAGGAGAACAATCATCGAGTGCAAAAGTTCAACATTGATGCGAGTTCGTCTTCGTAGCTGTTGTTCAGAGCCGACCTCAATGAACTAAACTGTCCTTTTCTCTTTCTTGCTTTCCCTCATTGCGGCGCTTCATTGTTTTTTATTTGCTGTCTCTCTTTTTATCGAACGATCCATCGAATAAAAGCGAAAGATAGGAATAATCGATGCTAGTTTACCACCAGAATCTAAGAATTGAAGCTACTCCACCGCGAGATGTGAAGTGGAGATTGGAATGGGATGACTTATGGTCCACTATGAAATCTAGACCATCGGGACTATCTGAAATGTTTTTACTCGTAATGCAGTTGATGCCTCTGTCGGCTGAAAATCGATGAGTGTTGGTGTGGGGATACTAGGTACATTGAATGGCGTATATAAAATGGTGGGGCGAGTCGGATGCCATGCAGTATTGGCTCTAACAGAAGTTAGAGCCAGAAGAAAAAACGACGGGGGGAAAACGAACAAAATTACAAAAAACGTTAAGAAATGTCTGTACGAGTTTACCCTGTGTCTGTGTTCTCATATGAAGCCCGTCCCACAAGTCCTCTACCTCTACTGCTGTTGTTGTTGTTTCGAAGCCAA